GGGATTTGATGCAAAGCTAAGGAAACAGTTAAAATGTTCTAAGCGTTGCTCTGAATGGTCTTCTCCCCTTACGAATGGCTCCCCAGCTGGGAAAGGAGAATAAATTGAGGTTGACTGCTCCCAGGCAATATGAGGATAGGATCGTATTGTCAGACTCGAAGCATGAAAAGAATGAGAAAGCTCTGACATGCATAGCTGTGGTTTGAGTGAATGAAAGGAGGAGGCAGAAAAGGGGGATAATATTTCCAAATCTTTCCAGGCAGCACAATCAACAACCAAGCATGTATTAAATCAATCTTTTTATTTATTTGCTGTAAGGTAGAAGAAGATCATTTTCAGACAGCCTAAGAAAGAATGAAAAATAATAATAAACTACATTTTTGGCCTCCCTGGAAGAATTTATGCATAGCAAGGATGACAAAGAGGTTTGTCAGCTGCACAGGGACACATGGGCATTCACACCTACACACTCTCAAGAACCACAGCTCTCATATTTTCCTTTTTGCATCAATCCATATAAAATATTACACCAATCACCTTCAGACAGAAGAGCAGTGTTTCTCAACCTTGGCAACTTCAAGATGGGTGGACTTCAATTCCCAGAATTCCTCAGCCAACATCTAAAATTCACTGAGGGTATAGGATCTGTACTTTTGAGACATTATGGACATATTTAAGAAGACTGCCCTGTCTGATCACCCATGAGCACTCCCTAGCCCAGACAGGAAATATTCCAGACTTCCTCAGCAGGAGACTATATTGAGCACATGGAGAAATTAGGCCCAAATCACTGTCAGGCCTTTGTTCATGTTAAAAAACCTGATTATTGAGTAAGTTGGAATTGCTGCAAGGCCACAGGAGCTGATCTGTGGCCCAAGAAAAAATCTGTTTCTCACTGCATTGTGGTTTGAAGGAAACATAGGAAAAGGGCCTTCTTTCTGACCATAGAAATGTTGAAAATCTTTGGGTTAAAGAGGTAACGAGACTCCTTTTGTTGATATGTAGCTAAGGGCCACCATAGGGCTATCCATATAATCTTTTCAATGCTCCCTTCCCATCTATGTTAATCCCAAAACTGGAAAGCTTAGAACTTCTTTAAAGATATTTAATAATAATAATAGTAAAGTTGGAAGGGACCTTGGAGGTCATCCAGTCCAACCCCCTGCTCAGGCAGGAAACCCTATACCATTTCGGACAAATGGCTGTCCTGTCTCTTCTTAAAAATTTCCAGTGTTGGAGCATTTACCGCTTCTGGAGGCAGGTTGTTCCACTGATTAATTGTTCTCACTGTCAGGAAGTTTCTCCTTAGTTCTAGGTTGCTTCTCTCCTTGATTAGTTTCCACCCGTTGCTTCTTGTCCTGCCTTCAGGCGCTTTGGAAAATAGCTTGATTCCCTCTTCTTTGTGGCAGCCCCTGAAACAGAAAGCTAGCCAGGGGAAAGTGTTGGTTTGTTAAATGATGTAGGAAAAGAATCCTTAATGAAGATAAGAACCAGGGGGGAAATTGCAGGAATTCTGGTCATCTGTCTTTATTACAGAAGACACAAGACAGCTGAACCTGCATTGACTTTTTAGGGAAGAAATCGGAACTAAAGCAACTTGAGATAATAGGAGATGTGGGACATCTTGAGACCAGTTGATAACAAATCACTGAGTCCCAATGACATCCACTGAGGGTTATTAAAACACAGAAATGTAGCATGTGACCTTCTAGTCAATCTTTTTTAATCTGTCCCCACCCCACCCACCCCCAAAGATAGCTAATGGGGCATCAATATTTTTTTTAAAAAAAGAGATCAGGGAAATTACAGGGCACTTAGCATAATGTATATTCCAGGCAAATTGGCAGAAATGTGATGAACGTTATTTTAAAGGCATATAAAGGAACAGGTTTTGTGGAAGGAGATTTAGCAGGCATTCCACAAAGGCAAGTCCTCCCTCCCCAACCTTGTAGAGTTTTGAGGAATGTCAAAAATGTGTAGATGGAGGTGCCCCTATCCTCACTGCTATGTAGATTTTCAAAAGTATTTGAACATTCCTCATCAAAAGTTATTGAGTAAACTCAGCAGCCACAGGATAAGAAGACCTGTGGTTTTATGGATTACCAACTGGTTTTTAATTGGTTCAAAATCCAAAAGCAAAAAATGGAAATAAATGAGCAATTTTCTTAATGAAAGAATGTAAGAAAAATAGTTTTTTTCAAGAATCTGTGTTGGACCTAATGCTTTTTAGCTTGTTCATTATTGACTTTTGTGTAGGGGAAAGAAGTAAGCTAATCATGTTTGCAAATAACACTAAACATCTGCTTATTTATTTAACCATGTTCTGAATTTTTACTAATCTGAGAGCTGACTTTAGTTATTAGTAGGCCGTGTTAACTGCCTCTATAGACAGGACTGTGAACATTTTATAATGCCTTGTTCTGAGAGTCACTTCAGAATGATGTTTATAGGTTGGCTTGTTGATCTGCTAGAGACTGAAGGTGATGTTAATGTCACTGGGGAAGATGGATGGATGGATGGGATCTTCCTTTCACAAATAATAGACCAGAGCAGAACAGAATATTCTTTATTGACTATGTGTGATTGGACACACAAGGAATTTGTCTCCAGTGCATAAGCTCTCAGTGTACATACAAACAGCAAAGTTATAGGTCATATATCATAGAGCATAGTTACATCATTAATCATAACATACAACAATAAGTGATAAATCATAAAATACCAATAGGAGAAGATAGTAGAGAAGATGGGAAAGATAATAGCAATACAGTCTACTATATGGGTAAATATCTTTAGGCCTAAGACAGTGCCGTGGGAATTAAGTGCTCTATCTTCAGATGAGATAAATAATAAATACAGACTTTCCTATTGTACCGGTGAGAATGTCAACCTAGTCCATATTTTAACATAGCTTAAGTAAACAGTGTAGATGGTTTTGAGTATGGCTGATGTTAAAAAAGGCTAAGCAGGATCTTAACTGGTTAGTGTCTGATTAGAAATCCACCTAGCAAATCCCAGGGCTATACAGTAGACTGAAAATTTTGGGGGGAAAAAATCCCAGAAGGTGGCAGTGTCAAACCGTTAGTGTATTGTTGCAGGAACACTATGGCTATGTCAGTGTAGTTGTCAAGGGTCAAGTTTGACTCAGAGGAGACTTTTCCTTACCTTCTGCAACTGCTCTTTGTTTCCTCATGAAAATATTTTAAGCCCTTGGCTGCACCATTTTATTGGTGATTTGCTCCCAGATCATATTGCTTTGTTTTACATTCTCATAAGCTGCCCTAATTAGCTTTTTGACAGAAGAATTGAGCAATAATGCTTACCCACACATAAAATAAATAATGAGTAACTGGAATTCAGAAACAGCAATGGGCAGGAACTAAATTATAACTTCCTGGGTGAGCGACTAGTTTAATCTGAAGCTCTGGTCTTGGCAATTTCCTAGAATTTGATGGGAACATGGAGATCCCTAGCCAGAGATTACATCAGCTTAAATACATCATCCAGGCCTTGGTTTTGTTTCTTGGCCATAATGGTGTGTAAAAAAAGAAAGAAGATAATCATTTCACACACCCAGAGAGCCATATGTGCCTACAATTTCTGATCATTTTTTCCAACCCTTATTGTGCAAAGAAATAGAACCAAGGAGAAGATGGTGCATTTTACCTAGTAGGAAGATAGAAAGCTTAAATACTCGATATAAAACAAAAATTGAAGAAGGCATTGTATACCAGAGATGCATTGGCTCCATTAACCTTCTTTTTTTACTTCTGTAAGTAAGATGGGCCACCTATTGTCATCTCTGCAAAGGTTTTTATTTTTTCCCCATTCCTTACCACGGCAGGTTGCCCAAATTTTCATGTCTCTAATTTATTTCAGGGATGAATTGGATTAAACGATTTATTGACTGACTGGTTGATTTTTTTTCAGCTTGAGCTTTTTGAAGCAGTATTTAATATAACAAAATGTGTGATCAACAAACCTGCATATGGGGGGGAAATATGCCCTGAGATCAAATAAGGTATCTACCCTCTGATGCTCCTAAAGTTGAAACTCAAATACTTTGGCCACCTAATGAGAAGGAAAGACTCACTGGAGAAGGGCCTAATGCTGAGAAAGATTGAGGGCAATAGAAGAAGGGGACGACAGAGAATGAGATGGCTGGATGGAGTCACTGAAGCAGTAGGTGTGAACTTAAATGGACTCCAGAAGATGGTAGAGGACAGGAAGACCTGGAGGAACGTTGTCCATGGGGTCGCGATGGGTCGGACACGACTTCGCAATTAACAACAACAACAACCCTCTGATGCATAAGTTGCCTTCACGTCTAAGATGAGAGCTACTGTTTTGCTTATTTGCTATGCAAACATGTGGTAAATGTTTATGGAGAGACAAAATATGTCAACATATAATGAGATCAAATGAAAATGGGTTACTTGATAGAAAAATATTATGTCCCTCCCATCCCAAAACAGTAGGATAAAGGAATAAAATATTGTAACTGCATAATTATATCTGCAGATGTAGCTGGCATTCCATGATCATACTAGTAGCTATACTGACAGTATACTTCATAGTTCCCAGGACAATTCAATCGACTGCTAGCAGTTCGATCCTGACCAGCTCAAGGCTGACTCAGCCTTCCATCCTTCCGAGGTCGGTAAAATGAGGAGCCAGATTGTTGGGGGCAATATGCTGACTCGGCAAACTGCTCAGTGAGTGCTGTAAAGCACTATGAAGAGGTATATAAGTCTTAAGTGCTATTGCTATTTCTCTGAGCTTCAAGATTTTTATTTCACATCAAGGATAGCCACAGTTTTTTTTTAAAGTATGTTTTGGTCAAGTTCTTCCACACCACAGCTTATAACAGAAGGATCTTTGTTTTTATCTCCCTCCAAGAAAATAGGGAAGGTGAAGCTTCCTTTCCATTTTTCCTTGTGTGCATCTTTGTACATCTTTTGACTAATCCCATCTTTCCTTCTATTTTTTTTCTTTTCCAGAATCAACATACTGTCTTGGGTCAAAGTGGAGGCACCAATCCAGGATCTGCCTCATGCACAAATGCAAACACTGGAACCAGCTACATCAGCTCATCACCACAAACATTGCTGAATCAGCAGCTGAAACAACAGTTCCTCCTTCAGCAGCAGCAGCAGCAACAGCAAATACTAACAGAAGCAGTAAATATCCCAGTTTTCTATTTTATCTATAAACAATCTCCCAGAATCCCAAAAGGAAATGTGAGGAAAGAATTGCCCAGCTTGTTTGGAATTGTTTGGCACTTGAGAAGTTTGGGTGCAATCAAAATTGCCCTCACTAGACCTAAGGGTTCTGCAGAATCCATATGTGTGCTTCTGAAGCAAGAGCATGAAAGTTGAACATGTCTTGTCCATGGGGAACATCATAGGTTCAGGTGGCTCCTCTAGTTAGCAAGGTTAAGCGCAGATGTTGAGAACGTTCTCTTAGCCACTGTTCAAATTTACAGTAGACTCCACCACCCTCCCACAAGTCAGTTACAAGCCAATTCTGGAGTTCTGACAGTTGCACATATCCACTGGTTACATGACCATATTTTGAGCACTTGGCAACTGGCTCACTTTTACAACTGGTTGTTGCCTTCCACGGTCACATAACTGAGATTTATGACATTTTTTTGTCGGTTTCCAGAAAAAAACAGAAATAGGAATACATTACTTTGCTTAAAGAACACTGCAAAGAAGTCACCAAATCAGGTCTGGTCACATGGTGCCTTGACTTATGACCATCATGTTTTATGACAGAAATTACGGGGTCCATTATGATCATAAGTTGAGGACTACCTATAATAATATTAGAGCAAGACTTCAGTATAGAAGACGATGATATGACTGCAGACACAGGTAGAAATTTTATATTTTTCATCCTAAAGGACAGCAGGTTGCAGGGCAGCTGAGAGTTCACACACACACACACACACACACACACACGTACATACATACATGCACCCTTTAGGCAAAACTTGGTTTGCTCTCCAGAAGCCTTATTCCGTGTGAAAACTGCACAACTGGACTGGAAATGTTTTCCTTTTGCAGGAAGAATGTGACATGAGAAAGACGTTATTATTTCATTCGGAATACTTAAGTTGCCTTTATTCATTTGTAGCCTTTTCTTAGAACAGATATGTCCCATCAACAGTTCCTCTTAATATTTGTTCAAACAATATACAAACATTGGATCTGTGAGGTCTCCCTATTTCATAACCTGAAATTACAGTTATCTCTACCAGCTTTCCCAGCCTGTTACCCTCCATTGTTGAGAATTTGGGTTCCAAAATTAATTCCAACCTCTCTGAGGGACATCAAGCTGGAGAAGTTTGTTGCAACAAATATCCATGGCTCCCCACCCACTTCTCCTCTGTTGCATCAATGGAGTAGGATATCTTTTAAGAATGCATCTTTGAATGTATGCATATGCTGCAGGTGATTTTGTTCAAATCTTCAGAATAATAAATAGCAATACCTTCCTCTTTTTCTTCATCCTGTAGGAGAAAGCAACCTCTCAAGATCAACTGAATAGACACCTTACAAGACCACCACCAGATTATAAGGACCAAAGAAGGGGCCAGGTCAACGTGCAGCAAACACACCAATATTCTGGTAAGCATGCACAAAAAAGCAAATAAGCCACCTTCAGACAAAGATTTGACTCATTTGAGTGTGGGACATGTGGTTCTTTTCTCCTGAGCAGCACTTAAGTCTTCCTTCTCTCCAAGTTCGATGTGAAAGTTTCTCTTGTTTCCTTCCTGTTTTCTCGTCTCCCTGGTTTCTCAAACTTCCTTCTTCCCAAACTTTTCTTTGCTTTCATCCATTTGAAACACAAAAGTCTCCTTGTCCCTTAGATCTTTCCTGAGGCCTTTTCCCTACTCCAAACAAACCAGCATTCAGTTTCCTTCACAGAAGCTACATTGATTTTCAGGAACCCTCCAGTGACCTTTCCCCTCCACTGTTGCGGTGTCCATGAACATTATACGGCATTGGTGCAGTTGCACCAACAGCTTAAAAACCGATTCATGATTTTTGGCCCACTACGTGTACTATCAGCTTAATCAGAGGATGTCTAAAGATGCCTGTCTAACTGTTGGAATTTGCCTGGTGGGCTGGACAATCAAGGACTTCCAAAAAAAAAAGGAAGAGCATGTGACGAGTCGTCTGATGATTCAAACATTCTTCATGGATCCTCACTTTTCAAACATTTAAATTTTACTTAGTGAAGATCTAAACTGTTTCTTAGGTCTCTGAATATGTTACAGAAGGCTGATTTGGCTAACAGAGTCGGACTGACTCATGTTCTATTTTGGGGACTTTTCCACACTGCATCTTAGGCATAAACCTTGATGCAAGGTTGAATGAATCAGAAGCATGTTCATAAACTCAAATTCATTTGAGTGTACCCGCCAAGAAGAAAGGACACCTGAAATAGATAGAGTTTGCTGTTTCCATTTTACTTACGGTACTTACAATTGTGTGAGGATGTTGTCTTTAAGTCATCACTCCAAGGATATGAACCTTTCCTCACTTCCTAAGTTGGCATTCAATCTCAAGGACGGGTCCTCCCTTGGTCTTTTTAGTAGAAGTCACCAAATAAATGTTTGGAAATATCTTCAAGGAAATACAGGTATTTGGAGAAATCTAACAAAATAAAAGAGCTGGAAGGGACTCAAGCAGGAAATCCTATACCATTTCAGACAAATGGTTGTCCAATCTTTTCTAAAAACTTCCATGCACAATTTCTGGAGGCAAGTCATTCCACTGATTAATTATTCTAACTGTCAGGAAATTTCTCCTCGGTTCTAGGTTGTTTCTCTCCTTGATTAGTTTCCATCCATTGCTTCTTGTTCTGCCCTCAGGTGCTTTGGAGAATAGGTTGACCCCCTCTTCCTTATGGCAGTCCCTTAGATATTGGAACATTGCTATCATGTCACTTGTCCTCCAGCAACCATTCCTTATATGTTTTAGCCTCCAGTCCCCTAATCATCTTTGTTGCTCTTCTCTATGCTCTTTCTAGGGTCTCAACATCTTTTTTATATTGTGGCGACCCAAAATGGATGCAATATTCCAAATCTCCCTAACCTTTCTGTCTATACATTTGATGGAGAACACATACATTTGAAAGACTGTCTAGCATTTTTCTAAAAAATATTCTGCATTGTGGCATTTACCTTATGTCTCATTGAATACATTTGTCCTCTGATCTGGATTTAGTTTCAAGGGTCCTGCTACTGTTACTCTTCGTGAAACAGAATTAAAGATTACCTAGCCAGTCTCAAAACTGATTTTCAGAGAGCAGACATCTCTCTCTTCATGATGGACTGTCAGTCCTGGCCATTAATCAGAAATTGACACATTCTGCAGTACCACTCAGTTCTTCTAGTATCTAAGATCTGGTTATGTTCTCCACTGAACACTAATTGGAATGAAATTTCTGCCCATCCGGTATAAATTAGACCAGCACAAAAAGAAGAGTTGAGAGGTGGGGGGGGGGAGAGAATGAAGAAGCTAAAAATAGTGAGCAATTCAGAGAAAAAGGGAAACTTTGTTTTGGGAATAAGAGAGAGAACCATTGTCCCCAACCACTACACCCTCTGAAGCAATTTCTGCTGTTACAAAAGAATATAGTATGCTGGCCATCTGTGCCTGAATCAACATGTTCCATCTTGGCTAATCTGGAAAATGCCTCAGTTGCCTGAGTCTTTTTGTTGCAACAGACAAATGTTATGTGTCTGGAGCATCTGGTTCGTTTCAATGATAGTGCACAAATTCAGCACTGGTTGCCTTACTTAATTGCTAATGACATGTCTAATCCAGGCAGCTCTCTGATAAGAAACTCCATGGGTTCCTTCACATTGCTACCGTTTTCCTTCTCCAATCCTGCAAACTCAGTTTAAAGATGATCCACGATCCCCTTCTGCTGACACTAAAAGTCTGAGGAGGAGGAGAAGAGCAAAAACAGGGATATATATTTCACCCCAAGCTGCCACTGATCCAGGAGTAATCCCTTCATCCTCTCTTCCTGCAAAATCCATGTTTTTATTTATTTGTTATTAAATTTATTAGCTGCCCATCTTACCACAGGGTAACTCTGGATGGCTTACAACAGACATGTCAAACACAAGGCCCGGGGGCCGGATGCAGCCCGCAAAGTGGTTTCATGTGGCCCGCAAAGCCATCCTGGAAACAGTGAGGGAACGGCCCCCGCTGCCTTGGCCCTGGCCCAGGCCAGCTGGGAGCCAATGTACAATTTTGTGGTGGCCCTCTATGCTGAAACGCATTCAGTCTTAGCTCCATAAGCTCCCCCCCTCCCCGCATGGCCTGAGAGGAACAGTGAGGCTCCTCCAGTGGACCATGCCTTGGCACTTGCCCTGGTCCCACCTCCTTCTGCCAGAGACCCTCAGATCTGTCCCACTGCTGCCCAGGCCCCCACAGTCACCCTTGACGTGAACGATGTAGAGCTGGCCACACCCACCCAATAGGCCGTACCCACTCCATCCATACCCACCCAGTAGGCCGCATCCACCCTGGCCACACCCACCCGGCCCCCTGAGGGCAACCGCAATGCTGATGCGGCACTCAATGAAGTTGAGTTTGATACCCCTGGCTTACAATATTAAAAAGATAAAACTACGAACACCTATAAACACGACAAATAAAATCTATAAAAATACAAATACTCAAGCCTAACTAAAAGATGGGAAAGTAGGAAGTAGGATGAGCAGGAGAGGGAGGTGGGACCTGTTATTTATCTATCAGCCACCCCCCAGTGTGAAACCTTCCCATTGCAGCCCCAGGCCTCATTAGAGTCCCAAAATCCAATCAGTTGTCATTACTTATGCTTTCACATCCACGCTTCAAGTTGCTGGCATTTGTCTTGGGCGAAAAATGAAATAAATAAAATAAACATCTGAATGGTTCCTGAGCAGAGGGTGGCAAAATTGTCAAGACACTTCCTGCTGAAAGACTCAGCAGGAACTCAGAAGCTGGAAGACACAGCAAGACAGGAAAAAGTCAGCAAGACAAGCAGGCCATTCAAAGATTTCTCCAGAGATGTGGCATTTCAATTAAAATACTACTTTACAGGTCGTCCTTGGCTTACAACAGTTTATTTAGTGACCAAAGTTACAATATCACTGAAAAAAAGTGACTTAGGATCATTTTTCACACGTATGGCCATCGCAGCCTCTCCACGGTCCCGTGATCAAAATTCAAACAATTGGCAACTGACTCGTATTTATGACGGTTGCAGTGTCCTGGGATCATGTGATCACCTTTTGCGACCTTCTGACAAGCAAACTCAATGGGGAAGCCAGATTTGCTTAACAAACTTATAACTAACTTAACCACTGCCATTATTCACTTAACAACTATGGCACGAAAGGTCATAAAATGGAGCAAAACTCACTTAACAAACATCTCGCTTAGCAACATAAATTTTGGACTCAGTTGTGGTCATAAGTCAAGGACTACCTGTACTTGGAATTAGACAACTTATTTTCCTGTAAATCAGGGGTCTGCAACCTTGACAACTTTAAGACTTGTGGACTTCAGCTCCCAGAATTCCTCAGCCAGCATGGGGGCTCAATGGTAGTCATAAGTCAAGGACTACCTGTAGGGACAGCCATAAATCCAGATGCTTAATGCCATAAAGGAGAGCTTGTTAATGACTAAATGTCACAGGCATATCATAAATAAGTTGCCTCTTTTGCCAACAAGCTAGAAGCCACCTTTATGCAATTTACCTACTGTGGAATGCAGAGATCATGTTATAATTCCTCCTGCATATCTGGGTCAAAGGAAATGTTTATTTGTTGTGTTTAACCAAGGAACAACTGTTTCCTCTTCTTGCTGATTTTCACCTTTCACATAAGGCTGGATGCCAGTTGTTGTGCAGAATAGCAAGCTATATGAACTAGTGGCTCATCTTTCAATCATAATATTATATCACATTCAGAATGCCTTCTCTTTAAAATGCAACACACTAAAATGAGTGCCTCCAAAAATCAATCAGGAGAAGGTTAACAGCTAGGTCACTTAATTAAGCCTGATTTGTAATCAAGCTTGGTCTCAGTCTTCTAAGAGTCATGGGATCACAGTGGAAGTCTCACTGCCATTCCTTTGACTCATTGGCTGGGCTCATTTGCTGCATTCCTTCCTAAATATAAGTTAATAAATGTTCACCTAATATACTATCCCGCAGTAGATCAAATTGTGGTTTAATATGATGGCTGAGTTCACACAACCTGCTGGGTTTCCATAAATTCTGAAACATAAAATATCCAACCCCATTTTACCTTAGTTACATTGTTTTGTATTGTGTCTTGAGAGTCCCTTGGATTGCAAGGAGATCAAATGAGTCAATCCTAAAGGAAACCAACCCTAACTCTTCTTTGGAAGGACAGATACTGAAGCTCAAATACTTTGACCACCAAATAAGAAGAGAGGACTCATAGGAAACGACCCGGAAATTGGGAAAGATGGAAGGCAAAAAGGAGAAAGGGATGGCAGAGAATGAGATGGTTAGATAAAGTCATTGAAGCAATGATCATGAATTTGAGCAAACTCTGGGAGACAGTAGAGGACCATGAGGCCTGGTGTAGTATGGTCCATGGGGTCATGAAAAAATAGACACAACTCAGCAAATGAACCACAAGATTTGTGTTGCACAAATCCGGCTAAGTGATCAGCTGGCCTAATCCATTACCCACGCAGGAAGGCACCACTACAAATGCATTCCCCTTATCTCTTACCCTTAGTGGAAAATAGCTGGTGAAGATGATAGAACTTGCTGAGATCGCCAGATTGTCTTCTTTGATCAGAGAAATGTCAGTGACAATATCTAAATTTATTCCTGACTGGAAAGTCATTCGAGATTTTTTGCATAAGACAGAAGAATCTGAACTTACGTTTTATGATTATGATGATTACACAGGATAGATTACAGAAAGAAGATAGTTAGGTTGCAACCATAGAGTAAGAGGTAAATTTATAATTGGATCTAAAACTACTGTAAAGATTGGAAGCTATTTCTTTGTATCTTTTTTCTTTTCTATTTTTCTTTTCCCTTTTTCCCTTGGACTTTAGGCTCTTTTTTATTTTATAATAGTTTGTATTGATTTAATCTTCCTTTTTTTTAAAAAAAAACCCTCAAATAAATATATATTTTTAAAAAGTATCCTCTACAATTGACCATCAATTTCTGCTTATAATCTTTTGGTTGAAATTTCTGGGAAGAGGAGAGAAATCAGAACAAAAGGACACACGCTCTGGAGGCAACAGCTGGCACATAAACCTAATCAAGTTCTCTGGAGTTTAGTGACTTCAGGGCTATGTCCATGAACAGCTAGTCCTCGACTTACGACCACAATTGAGCCCAAAATTTCTGTTTCTAAGTGAGACATTTGTTAAGTTTGCCCCCTTTTACAACCTTTCTTGCCACAGTTGTTAAGCAAATCATTGAAGTTGTCAAGTTAGTAACATCACTGTTAAGTGAATCTGGCATCCCCATTGACTTTGCTTGTCAAAATGTTGCAAAAGGGGATCACATGACCTTGGGACACAGCAAAGGTCATAAATATGAACCAGTTGCCAAGCATCTGAATTTTGGTCATGTAATCATGGGGATGATGCGATGGTTGTAAGTGTGAAAAACAGTCACGAGACACTTTTTTCAGTGATGTTGTAACTTTGAACGGTCGCTAAATGAACTGTTGTAAATTGAGAATTACCTGTAGATGGTTGGTAGTGCCTTCTTTAAAGATATTTTTTATTTTTTTAAAGAAAAAATCCCAGCTCTAGCTCACACCCCTGGTGTTTCCTGATCATTTCCGATCTAACTATTACTTTGATCAAGCTGCTTTGCTAAGATCGGCTAAAATTGGCTTGATTCTGCCATGTATTTGAGCAAAAGGGATGATGTGCGATTCTACTATCCTTCAAAGAAATGGCATTAAAATATACTTCATTTTCTCTAGTAGGGTCATTGTGTTGAGTGAGAGATAAGAAAATAGCCAGAGAAGTAACTGGTCCTATTGGGTACTTTGGTTTCTGAGTCTTGTTTGGATCTGATGGTGGATGATGTCTTTGTTCTCTCTTAGGTGGATCACCGGCTGTGAGCATCAATTCCAATCTGTGTTTCTCCAATCCCATTTCCACTTCAAACATTTTGTCACAGCAATCAAATCTCTTATCCACGGCTCATGGCCTCAGAATGACTTCTCTTCCAGCAGGGCACCACGTCAGCTGCTACGGGAACATTCCCTGCAGTCAACCAAATGCATATAACGTGGCAACTCCAGGAGTGAGCCAGGTTGCCCAGCATAGAAATCTAAACCCAATTGTAACCAGTCAAAACAACCCTGCAGCATCTCGGCCGACACCTCCAGGGCAAGGCAATAACATGCCGACCTTTGACAATGGCTTGGGAATTAACTCCCAGCAAGGGAAACTCAGCTTGAACCAAGGGACTTCAGCCCAAAGAGCTTCAAATGTGATGGTCAGTTCAAATGCTGCAGCTCAGAACTGGGTTTCTTCGGAAGCAGGGTCCAAGCAACAGGAAACCCAGAGGGCTTCGGGATCCCCTTTCTCGTCTGGAAGCTCCTATACAAATCAGCAACTACAGCGCGCAGCTGCCCTCCAGCAATTTCCTCAGCGTGCCATGGTGCCTCCTAATCAACTGGGCACTATCCAGATGAGAACCCCTACGAGCCAAATGAACCAAAGTCTAAATGGACAAGTGGGCGGGGCATCCAAACCCCAGAGTGCAATGCCAACTCAATTGCAGGGAGAGGTTGTGGCCCACTTAAATCCACCCAGGGTGGGGATGACACAACCCCACCCCTTGTCATCGAACCAGTTCTCATCAAGTGCTACTCAAATGTCCAGCAGGGTTTTTCAAGGAACAGATCATGCCAGTGATCTAGCATTTGATTTTCTGAACCAGCAAGCAGATAACATTGGGCCTGCACTCAATAGTGACCCAGACTTCATTGATTCTTTGTTGAAAACAGAGCCTAGTAATGATGATTGGATGAAAGACATCAACCTCGATGAGATATTAGGAGGCCATTCCTGAGGCAGCTAACAATTATGAACTCCTGGTGTTTTTTTAAGGCTAAAAAGTCAGGATATCAGTCTTCAGTTTGTAGAAGACAAAGGTCGGGGGGGGGGGGAAGCAAAAGAGTGAGTTGCTGGATCCAACCTTAAAAGTATATTAATGCAACCATGCTTCCATAACTTGTTCCATTATCAAGTATGCTAAAGATGGTAAGTCTGGATCCATTGTTTCCAAATATAGGGGATTCTGAATGATAAAGGAACTCTAAGAAATGGGTGTTTATCATCCAAACAAATCCTAAATATGTAAGCTAATATTTACATCTGTTACATAAAGGAGAGACCTAGGAATATGCACTGCATCAAAAATATACTGCTGACATCCGCTAATGATTTTCACATGTATGTGTGTACAAATAGAAATCTGGCTGGGAAAAAATAAGCAGAAAACAAGAAAACAACACACAACTCAGAAAGCTTAGCAAGAATCTTCCCTAACATTGCGCATTCTAATATGTTTTATTAGAATCCTTATCGTTTTCATTCAGTGAGAACGAGACATTACATTATGGTAATTCAGAACATCTGGAGTATATCAAATTTAGGGACGCAGGTTAGCAATTCATAGAGGGAACCAGTGGGCCATGAAAGAAAAGCTTATTGATAGAACCCCTATATACAAGCCAAACATCCCAGGTTCTATAAGCGATTTAGTCTGGGATGAAAAAGAGCAATCCCACAATTCTGAAGGTCCAATGGCGCACATGGCAGCTCCTTAAATCTCTACTGTAAAGTTCCTAATACTTCTTAAAACTGCAGTTTTCTGTCCACTTTCCTGGAAATAAATCTACAGATGGGATAAATAAACCTATAGATGGGATAAACAGGCAGTAAACAGATAGCTTGCCCTGTGAGTGGTTTGGCTTCCAACTCATTTCCTTCCTAAAACCCCTCCTTATGGGAGAATCTGTGCAGAGTATGAAGTATCAGACTCAAGAGTATTAGAAGTTTTCTATTCGAAATCTGTCTAGTGGTTTTAAATAGGAATAACCAGCTTGTCCAGCCTGTTACGACTTCTGCAGATGACCCATTTCACAAGCTTCCTTCTCCTCTCTATAGCTTTCATACCTCCTAGAGTGGGTTTCTTCTTCCGTCCTCTTTATCCCTTTAATTAGGTATTGGAGAGTAGATTGAATTTTGGATGCTAATGGAATCCCATGTGCCCTAGAATGCAGATGATATCAAAACGATCCAGTTTTATCTTACATGTCATTAACATATTATGAATAAGAATGAGGATCCGTGAGGTAGGGATCCCTGCAAGCATCGGCTGAAAGGATATCTAATGGTAGATCCGTCAAACATGGTGGTTTAATTATTTGAGCACACATTGCAACCAGCCACCATCTTTTTTTTTGTTGTTGTTAGTTGCGAAGTCGTGTCCGACCCCTCACGACCGCATGGACAACATTCCTCCAGGCCTTCCTGTCCTCTACCATCTTCTGGAGTCCCTTTAAGCTCACACCTACTGCTTCAGTGACTCCATCCAGCCACCTCATTCTCTGTTGTCCCTTTCTTCTATTGCCCTCAATCTTTCCCAGCATTAGGCTCTTCTCCAGTGATTCCTTCCTTCTCATTAGGTGGCCAAAGTACTTGAGTTTTAACTTCAGGATCTGGCCTTCTAAAGATACCAATTTAAGGAGTTCAAATTAAAAGTGTTTTTTTTTTAAAAAAAAAAGAGATATTCCTTTTCATTCATAAACGGCACAATATTAAGTGAGATGTAAGCTCTTCCCCTGGATTTCCCTGACAGTGGCAAGCAAAGATAATACATTCTGCAATGGAAGGTGGTATCATCTTTGATTCCCTACTTGCCCTGTGCATAGATTACTTAGGACACTGTTGGGAATTACATCTGTGGGCATTCCCATCTTATACTCTCCAGATGGATTGAGGCAACAACACTTTCTAGCCAACATATGCTAAGAAATTTTGCAAATTTCAGTCCTAATACATCTGAAGCATACCACTATGGGAAAACTGAAATAATGAGCACCTAAGGGTTTCAGATGCTGTTCCTGGCTGTTGGATCTATAAAATCTTACAATTCCTGATTATCTGCAGTTCCATAAACCAAAGTTGTAAAAGGGACATATTGTGCAAGCTCTGTTTATTTTAAAACTCCATGCCTTTGAACACTTAAGGTTGCACCTTTGGGATCCAACGATGAAAAAAGCTGGAAATATTTTTATTTTGAAACAAGGAAAAAAAAAATCCTGCATCTTGTTATCACCATGTATCTTCTTTTTACCATTACAGTTAAATGCACTACACTTATCTTTTGCATTATTGGATCAGGAGTTCTTTTCAGTATTGGGCTGTAAATATAGAGAAAAGTTTTTGTAAACTTTTGTACAAAAATGTAATATTTTGGTAGGAATACTAAAATTATAATCTTTGGGTTATATTTATACACATGTGGAATAAAAATGTACTGCAAAGGAGGAAAAAAAATCTTTTCGTATTTGAATATACAATGTATGCGGCAAAGGGAATTATACGATATGATTTTTTCCATCCTGAGATTTAAGCAGCAACTTATATAAGAGGAGACAGGAATAGAATTTTGAATAAAATAATTGAGGACTCTAAACTGATGGTTTCATCCTAAAATCTCAAACCTGATTTCATATCATTAGTTACGCCATGTTAGCTAAGGATATTGGCTACTGAATTCCATCTCCAGGTTGAAAACAGCTTTTTAGAAGAAACATCAGTTCTCTTGAATCTAAGAAACTTGTCATTCCAAATGTGTTGCGCACCTTACCTTACATACTAAGCCCAGTTTGGGGAATAGATTTTAAGAAGGATGGGTACAGTTTATATTTAGGAAAGGGGAACAAGCATGAGAAATCAAGAAACTAAATTCTATGAAAATAAATTGCAAGAACTACCGGTAGGAACGTTGTAGAAGGTGGGGAAGGGCGACAATAATACACGTAATGTTAGGCACAAAGAATCAGGACCGTACATTAAGTTGCAGTTAAGATTTATTGCTCAAGCCTATATAAAAGAATTTAGTCAGCTAATGTTCAAAGTAAATTGGTGCTAGAGAAGTCAATGGAATTCAAGAAGGAGCATAGAATTTGTACGAACGTAGAATCATAGGGTTGGAAGAGACTTCAAAGGTCTTCTAGTCCAACTCTGTTCTCAGTGCAGGAAATCTTGTACCATCCCGTCAAATGGCTGTTCTCTCAGTCAGATCAAAGAGTTTTATAATGGATTACTTTATGCTGCTTTCTCAGTCCAAGCGCTTTTAGCTCTATTAATCACAGGGCTAGTCACTAGTTTGTCCCAATTTTTTTTCCATCACAGTTGACTATAAAACATCAAAACCCAACTGGCTGACTTTCGGCCAATCATTCTCTTTCAGTCCAACCTACTTCATAGGATTATTGTTGTGAGGAAAATAGAAGAGAACAGCCAATTATTCACCCTTACAGATGATGATGATGATGATGATGACAATCATGACGTGGTGGTCTATATTACTATATTTTACTGCTAGGAATCAGAAAAGATAGGTGTTCAAGAGGATTTGTATTACAGTACTCAAAGTTTAGTCTACATAGCAGGGATAACACTTATATAGGCTTGTCAGCTAAAGTTGGACTTAGTCAGCACTTTGATAGAAAATTGCTAAGTAACCGAGGACTGTAAATTAAGAAATTGAAAAATTATCCCAGAAAAAAGCATGGGGAAATCATTTCTATGTTTTTGCCAAGAAGACCACATGGATATCTTCACAAAGGAGTTAGCTGAGCTTGACTAAAAGGAAATATTACTTTATTTAGAATAATTTGTCTCACACTGGATATCCTGATTTTGACAGGGTTGATTTTCTACACCTGGCAGCGAAATGTCGTAAAGCCATACAGGGAGAAATCAGGAGTTCACAATTCTTGTTGAGATGGACAACTAGTCTAATATCTAAGAAAGCTTCCTATTTAGTACTCTGGCCAATAAAGAGAAGATTAATGATTTGATTTATAATTGATACAGATCAACCCTTTTGTTGCATTCTAAAAATTTTAGAACATGCATGTATTCTAATTTCCATGCATGGATACATTTTTCCCCTCTGTGTGTCTGATTCTTGGAGACTGCCTGGACAAGTCCCTGCATTTTTCTTGCCAATATTTTTTGAAGTGGTTTGCCGTTGCCTATTTCCTAGGGTTAGGACAGCATGACTGGCCCAAGGTCACCCAGCTGGCTTTGTACCTAAGACCAGACTAAAACTCACAGTCTCCCAGTTTCCAGCTTGATGCCTTAACCATTACACTAGCACTGTATAAATTATTGCTTCGGTATACTCTCTTTGACTTTGATGTGAATTAAGGTTCATGATTCTGACGTGGAAGATTTCTTTCCACAAAAATATTTGGAAGAGGAGAAATGGAAGGAACCGGAAAAGAGAAACAGGTGAGAATGAAAGGTCAGGGCACCTCAATTCTGACCATCAAAATCTTAAAAGATTTCTGATGAAGAAAGATGAGCAGCTACAGGAGAAAATGGATATTGTGCTGTCCGTGAATATATAGCAGCAAGGTTTGTATTATATCTCTATGTTTGGTTTTTCTCCATTGATTCCAGAGACAGTGAAATAATATATGTTGGCTCCAGAAATAACATTGTTTGCCCCTAATTGTAGGCTGTGAAGGAGGCCTAGATTCCATAATTTCTTCCAGTATGCTCTGTCTTCTTTTTATGTTCTCCAATTTCAGATAGTCAGTGTTAGGGAATTATCCCAGAGCAAGAGAGCAAAGCAGAAAAGGGTGGGAAGTAACAGAATAATAAAAGAAAAGAGTTAGAAGGGACTTTGGAGATCTTCTAGTCCAATCCCCTGCTCAGGCAGGAGACCCTACCCCAGGGATCTTCAAACCTGGCCCTTTTATGACTTGTGGACTTCAACTCCCAGAATTCCTCAGCCAGCGTGCCTGGCTGAGGAATTCTGGGAGTTGAAGTCCACAAGTCATAAAAGAGCCAAGTTTGAAGATCCCTGCCCTATACCATTTCAGACAAATGGTTGTCCAATCTCTTCTATAAAACCTCCAGTGTTGGAGCATTCACAACTTCTGGAAGTAAGTCATCCCACTGATTAATTGTTCTGTCAGGAAATTCCTCCTTAGTTCTAGGTTGAGTGTCTAATAGAGAAGTAGAGGAGAATCAGTTAGGCAAAGACAGCTTCTAAATACAATTTCTCTTCCAGCTCCCTTAGAAAGTATGGCCAGTAGGTAACAGGTTGTCTAGCCCCAAATTAGAAGTAATGTGTGGTTGGTGAGAAGTTGGATTAGGATTGGGGAGGAAGGGATCCTAGTCCCATCTCAGACACAGAAACTACCTGGGTGACTTTGGGCCAGTTGTTCTATCTTATATCAATCCCATTTTATGGTGTTATGGGATGCCTAAAATAGCTCTAAAATCAAAGAAAGGATGTGGATCTAATAAAAACAGGTAATCCTCGGCAACAGTTCATTTAGTGACTGTTTGAAGCGACAACACTGAAAAAAGTGACCTATGACCGTTTTTCACACTTATGACCATTGCAGCATCTCCATGGTCACGTGATCAAAATTCAGATGTTTGGCAACTGACTCATATTTATGACGGTTGTAGGGTCCCAGGATCATGTGATCATTTTTTGCAACCTTCTGACAAACAAAGTCAATGAGGAAGCCAGATTCACTTAACAACAGTTGACAGCTGCAGTGATTCATTTAACAATTGTGGCAAGAAAGGTAAAATGGGGCAAAATTCACTTAACAACTAACTGAGTTAATAACTTTTGGGCTCAATTGTGGTCGTAAGCTGAGGACTACCTGTATAAATTCCTCATGAATTCAGAGCAAAAGGAATAGAAGGGCCATGATTCAAAGGCAGATTTTATTTATTCATTCGTTTGTATCCTGCATTTATTAATTTTATAAATACTCAAGGCGACGAACATATCCAGCTGCGCCTTTCTCCTCCTTTTTTCCCCACAACAACAACCTTGTGAGGTGGGTTGGTTTCTGAGAGAGTGACTGGCCCAAGTCACCCAGCTGGTTTTCATGTCTAAATTGGGACTTGAACTCATGGCCTCCCACTTTCTAGCATGGTGCCTTAACCACTAGATCAGGGGTCTTCAAACGCTGGCTGAGGAATTCTGGGAGTTGAAATCCACAAGTCATAAAAGGGCCACGTTTGAAGACCCCTGCACTAGATCAAACTGGTTCTCTAAATAAATAAAAGATTACTTTTCTCGTTATGTTCATTATAGTGCATGTTTTTAATTTTTTTTTCTTTTCTGTGTTACTTTTCAAAAAATAAACTTAGGGGGAAACACACCCCAGCATTTTCAAGGCTAGGGTCAATTTAGAACTTCTTGTCCTCTTTTTCCTGTTCCATAATACAGAGGATGAATACCAGGAAATGCCCAACTCTCTCTGGCTGCTCACATGAATAGCAGTCTCAAAATTATCTTTTGAG